CAGTCAGAGTGTGACAGAGCGTGGGTGGGACTGGGTAGAGGTGTTTACCGTTAAGTAAGCACGGGGTGGCATCTCCGGGGAGCGCTGCCATTGTGAGGAGCTCGTCTCATCAGTCACCGCTGATGAGTTTGCACAGCGCTGTGGCCGCAGCCTTGTGAGTCAGCCTGGCTCGTCAACAAGGGGCAGCACGCCGCTGTGGCAACACAGCAAACCACCTGACACACTCTGGACCGAAGAGTGCATCTCTAAAACACTGTTCTGTGAGACAAGACCTGCAATCTACTCAACCTAAAAGATGACGTATTTAGAAAGGGAAAACCCGTGGAGCACCGTCAGAAATGGGCCAGTCAGGTTTTCAGTATTCAGCAGACTGAAACAAACCCTTAAAAGAACTCAAATTATGATCAAGCAACTTTGATGACACTTCAGTTCCCACAAGAAAGGAAACTCTAGGGGAGCCTCGGCGCTGGGCCATGACAACACAGACCCTTTCCAGTGGTTGTCACACTTTACAATCTGAAGAGGAGGTAAGGGGCACGATGAGGGTGTGGGGGAGCGGAGATGGTGCCGCCACTATTGCTTTGATTTGACGTTTTCTTACACCATGTGAAACTACGTCATCACGAGGCCTCTAAATGGCACCGTTTTCATGAGTTTACCCAACTCAAAAAGGAGAAAGGCAGAGAATACCGCTGCTGTTGATGCAACAGAAAAACTACAACGTTTACAACGAAGCGGTTCTCTACCACCAAATGAGTTCATCTTTGGCTGCGGTGACAACGTCTAGAATGGAAAGCTTTAGAAAAACATTGAGCGTTGTAGTTGGTGGGGAAAGAATCTGTTTCGTTATCCCAAACTCTAGCATTCTATAACTGTGGGTGCAAGCTGGAGGAGCTTTGTTACTTTAGCTCTATTTGTTCTGTTTCTGGATTTTTGTTCATTATTTTTATGGTTGCATGTTTCGCCAATTATTCCCTCTGGTTTTAAATGCTGTACAGCTGGAAGGATTTTTTTTTTACCTTCTAACTATTGTTATCATGGGTAACCATGGTGATATGGTATTGTTTTTATAACTGTGAGCAGCTGATGAAGCTCAATTGATATCTGAACTACAACCCAGATCCCAGAGGAGTTAAAAAGGAGATTTTGCAGATGCAGAGCAGAGCAGAGAGAGAGAAATTTTAAACCATATCTTCCATCCATCAGAATGGGCGAGGATCATATCCCCTACTCCAACATCTTTCTACCTGGCTTTCAAACCATACAGCCAGACAGAGATGTAAAAAGGAACTCTAAAAGCAAATGAGGTGGACTAGCTGTGCTTGCCAACAACGGATGATATCATCCAGGACATGTTGCTGTGGAATACTGCCTCAGAAATTGAGCTGTTAGCATGTCATGATGGTCATCAGCCTGTCATGCAGCAAAAATCTTCAGTCAGAGGAAACTTCAGATTCATTGCAAGCCTGACTGCTACTGGAGATCCTCCCTATCTGCAGCTTCACCATCCACAACCACTCTTTGAAGATACTTGGACGATATGAGTAAACACAGCATTTCATTTATCTAATAAATAAAAATTTAAATTTAATTGTACTTGAAAATCACCAGTCTTGTAGTGTACAAAATGCTACACTGTGCTCTACAAAAATGATCTCATGGCGTTTGGAACAGAAACAAGCCCAAAGCATCACAAATCCTCCACCATATGCAATACTGGTGCAAGGAGGTTTTTCTGTTTTGTTTTTTGCATTCTCTTGCTTTTCTGTTTCACATCAAACCCACTTGTATTCAGTGTTAATGTTGATTACTCAAAGATGGAGCTCTGCTTTAGTTCTCCATGATGATTTTTTGGTACCTCCATTACCATCCTGCTCACTGTGCATGGTGGCACAGATAAATATGGGTCCTTGTCCAGCCCAGAAGCCCATGGCCAAGATAAATGGACGTCTGTGTCGTTTCATATTTCAACCCAAGGGAAACAAAAAAAAAAAAAAAATGTCATGCCTTATGAATTAAAGAGTTCATCTGAACTGTGATCAACTTAAAAAAAAAACACAGAGTAGATTAAATAAATAACTTAGCTACATCTATTTTCGAAGAATCTGTAGGAGTAATACACTGTGACAACAGTAAGTTCTTAGTCAAAGTAATGAAATTAAAGGGTTGAATTTTTTTTTCATTTTATTTTGTTTTTTGTAGTATGAGATTATGCTAAAGCAACAAATGAAGAGTTTCACACTTTTGCACACCAGTAAATGTGGCCAGCATCGGATTGCATTGGAAATGAAGGCAGGTTACAATCTCAAATGTTTCTAAGGTTTAAATGGTTAAAAATGTATGTATTTCTATTATTCTAACTATTTGCTTTTTTATTTCTCAATTTACTGTTCAATAAAGGCTAAAAAAAAAAAAGAGTTCCAAAATAGGATGTTTACCTCAACTTCAATTTCAGAAAACATACAACACACCCGGACAAGATCCACCATCGTAACAAATCTAGATATCAGCCTTTTCTTTTAACCCAAGTTTCTAAAATGTCACTGCATGCGACAGCTTTCATGGGGCAAACCTTGTATCGAGTGTTAACCCTTTCCCCAATTAAGCAGAGGCCATAATGCCAAACTGTGAATCACACTCAGACAGTAGGTGACAGGGTGGGAAAACCCTCATCCACACCAGATTTGCCACAGAGTGACTCTTCCGCTAATGGATCCCGCTCTGAATGTCACAGGCTGTCAAAGAAAAGGACGAGTGTCTTTCACCTTCTGCTATTCCAGGTCACCATTCCCACTTCTTGTTCAAACTTCCGAGTAGAAAGAGAACGCGCCGTTGGCTCATGTTTTCAAGAAGCATTAAACCAACATCAGCTGATTTGGCGTGAGCACAGGCTTTTCTGACCAGGAGCCATATGTTACAAATAGGCACTGGAATGTTGAAAATGCTAAAAAAAAAAAGAAAAAAAAAAGAACTTATTTATCAATTTGTGGCATATTTAAACTGCTTTAAAAGACAATCAAATGAAGCTTATCAGAATATCACTGAAAAGTTAATTTATTCCAGCAAGTCAGTTCAAAAAGTCAAACTCAAGGATTCATTACACACAGAGTGATATATTATACATGTATGTCTGTGGATTTTTAGAATCACTACTTCCAGGTAGTGAAAACCACAAATTTAGTCAAATAGTTACATAAAACAAATAAACAAAAACAGTCTGAACTCATAAATGTTATTTTGTGGTCTGCGTAATCATCTGGAACATTGCTAACTTGACGGCCGTCCGGCAGACAGCCAACGAGGAGGGAGAGCCACAAAGAGTGAAGAATCCGGCTGTTCACGTCCAAGAAAATGAACGCAAAGTTTAGTGGGAGGCAAAAGTGAGCTAGAAAAGGTGCATGAGTAACTAACCAGTGACTTTATAGAGAGTCTACTGTGAAGCAAAACCACATTAATGACATCGCAAAGTTCTCAAGGCCAAACGTCCTACATGTTTAAGATGTTTCCCTAGTTTAACACACCTGAATTAAATGACTGAAGGATTAACAAAAGAGCTAATTCAGCCATTTGAATCAACTGTGGAGCAGAGAGACGTTTTAATCCAGGATAACAGACCTTCAGGACTACAGCCAGACACTCGTAGTCAGGAGGACAAGAGAAAAATCACCATAATGTGACTTGTGTAATTTTCTCTGTGACAAAATAAATAAATAAAAATCACAGAATCTGTAAAGTTCCCACAGTTACTGATGATTAGGGGAGCTGGTGTTGCAGGTGTTGGCTCAATGCGTCTCACCAAGTAAAAATGTTACAGCAGACATTAACTAGGAAATATTAAAAGCCCTTAATGATTCCCTCTGCTTTATGGACTTGGCAGCAGCACACGCTGCTATTAGCACAGATACCTTATTTAATGACCATGATATCACTGCGCTTGTTGCTCACAAAACTCATTAGACATAAAAATCCAAAGAGAATCTGTAAGTGTTTTCAAGATAAAGAAGAGCTTAAGGCTGCTACTATAGACTGAAGCAACGTATAGTTGTCAAGCTTTTGGCCACGCTGCATTTATGCCGTAATTCTTGCAAAAAGAAGCTCAAGTATTGTAGATTTATTCCTTTAATCATTTTTCTTTGTTTTTTGGCGGACATTTACTCTCTCACTGCCAATTTTTTTCCCCTTTCATCTAGAATGGCTCCATTACTCATAATACACTGTACATGACAAGGATGTACTTTCTGTAGGCAGACTGCTCTGTATTAATTAAAGATATAGAAAGGTTTATATAATATTTTAAATATTCTGAGAAACAGGAGAAAAAAATGAACAAAAGCTATTTGAGTTAAACTTTTACAACATAAACTAAAATAAATTAACTTTCGTTTGCACTTAAAAACAGAAGAAGTAAGTAGTTAGTGTATATATTTAGGAACATTTGAACCTCATAGCCTATGTAACACATTTGGAAATGTTAAATAACCCTCATGTGTGCCTGATACAGGCTGTTGTCAGAGGTGCATGTTGCAGGGTAGTAACTCTTCTTGTCACCGCTTTTCAGTCGTGCCAAGCAGGAGCTTTACCGAAATCGGCTAGGCTAACTTAGTCGAGTAAATAGCTTGTAGCTGAATCTGTGCCAATGTCTTTAACAGCTCAAACATTGTTTAAAAAAGAAAAGAAAACCTAGCTCTGCATGCTAGCAAACCCTAACAGCTGTACAGAGTCTGAAGCCGTTAACTACCCTAAAGAGAGCACGATGACATTAAGACGTTATTGGCACCCGGATTCTTGGTAGGCACGCTCTACCAGCTTCAGACGAGTTTCATTATCCGGTTACATGGTGAATTTCAGAGAAGAAACACAAAAATAAGAAAATGTCACACCCGCTCGTGTAATGAATTAATGACGCATTCAGAGCCCTCCAGGTAAAAGGTTTTCCGCTCCCCAAACACCTGGCTCAGACACGCTGTCAAATGTTGACAGTGGCAAGTGTGCAGTGATACCTGGGACCTGTTGACTCCTCCTCCCGGTCCCGCTTTCGGACTCGCTGGTGGAAGTTCAGTCGCGCTGCCGCTGGTATCTCTCTACCGGCGGTAGTCTTCTTCTCCTCTTTTCTTTTCTTTTTTTTTCCCAAAGTTTTCTGCCGACTCTCAAGGTTCCAGAGAGCGTCTCCCACGAGCGCTGCGTGAAATTAACCCCGAGGACAGACCGTAGGTAAAGGCAGTCGAGCCGCTTTCAAACAGCAGGAGCAAGTTTGGCACGGCTCTTACCAAAGACAACTATGGCAGTCACGTTCTCCTTGCCGTGGGATCCCCGCCCCCTTTTCCTTATATGGAGAGCAGCGCTGAAACGTGGATGTCCCGCTCCTCTCCAGATGTTCTTCTCCCTGCTCTGCCAATGTAAAGAAAAGGCTGCAGGAAAAGCCCGACGTTTTAATGACTGGTCCTACAGATCCATAATATATGCGCCACTGAATGCTGGAAGCCATTCTTTTTATATTTGCAGTAAGAAAACATATGAACAAGCTCTCTCAAGTGTGGCAAAGTGTGTTTAAAGATAGTGGTCTCTTATGCATACATGTATACTACTGCAACATGCAGGTTAGTAATAGAATACTTTTTGTTCTATTCTATATTTTTATTTTAAGGAGAATTTAAAAAAAAAACTTTCCATGTGTAACTGCTATCTGTTTATCTATTTTATCCATCTGAATATATACATATCAGCATCTGTACTGTAGAAGATTTTTTCTTCTTCTTTTTCAAACGTGTATCTCTGCATCAAAACCAGTCACGTAACACTGGCCCAGGGCCCCTCCTCCAATGTATGACAAGGCTGTCCTGTCCCGCTGTGAGGACCATTAAGGACTCTACAGTACCCACCATTACAGTATGTTCTGTACCCTTGTGCCACTCTGACCAGCAATCCCATCTATTCCATGCAGAGCGACAGCACTGACAGGAAGCCAGCAGCTAAATCACTTTTTTAAAGCACAGCTTTTCCTTTATATGCTTTAAGTTCTTAAGTCAATCAAGAATATGCATCTAACATATGTGTTTTCCATACGTGACCCAGCATATCCTTGTTTGTTTATGTTAACTGTGACTTTTAAATAGTAAGGCAGTAAAAAAAATCTGATATATTTTTAGCTTAAAGTGCTTATGATATTAAAAAGTGGAGACAGGTCCTCATGCAATTTTAACCACGTTTCGAGCAGAGAGCTTTGTGTCTCAGAAAAGCTATTAGGTCTGCAATGTGTGACAACAGCAGCAACATTTGATTCTTGTAAATTATTATGCTATAAATATTTTTTATGTGTTTATTAGCTCATTCATTTATGTGTTCATGTGGTGTGCTGTGGTGGTTCAGGGGTTCAGCACAACTCACATAAGGAGGCCTCAGTCCTCAACATGGCTGTTGCAGGTTAAGTTCCCAGCCTGGTGACCTTTGCTGCATGTCTTCCCCTTCTCTCATTACCACTTTCCTGTCAATTAACTATCAAATAAAGGCCACAAAAGCCAATAAAAGCTTTAAAAAAAATTGTGTTTTCATATATTTTTGTACAGGTTCCTTTCAGATTTTTATGTTATTACTGCAGTGTTGTCAAGAAACATTACAAAAAATTCTTCATATTTTGATTTTCTGATAAAAAAATTATCTTAGCTTTATTTTCTTTGACTTTACTCTTGGTTTTGCTGTCACTGCACAGTGAAGCAGTTGGTACCAATGATACCTTGCAAATGGTGGAATCTAAAAGATAAATATCCAGATTGGTTTTTGAGTCTGAATGGAGTTTGCATGTTTTCCCTGTATGACTGTTGGTTAATTGGTCTCTCAAAGTTGCCATTACATATGTGTGTGTGTGTGTGTGTGTGTGTGTGTGTGTGTGTATGTTATTGTTTGCTTGTACTGTTTTTCTGCATACCAATGACTGCTGGAGAGAGGAACCCCACATGCCTGTCTCCCTGCAAGGACAAATGGGTGTAGAGACAGTGAGTGGATGGATAGGAATGAATCCCTAAACTAATCCATAATTTCTAGGGTTTTTTTTTTCACAATATACTTTATCCTTGATTTGTGTACATACATTTTTTTCTTGAAATGATAAATGTAAGTAATCTCAGGGGTGCTGTGGTGGAGCAGGGGCGGAGCACGGCCCATGCATTAAAGCCTTGGTCCTCATGCCAGTGGTTGCAGGTTCAATTCCTGACGTGGTGACATTTGTCTCATGTCTTCCCCCTCTTTCCTGCCAAACTACGTTCAAATAAGGGCCACTAGAGCCAACAAAACCTTTAAAAAAAATGTAAGTAATCTCATTTGTTCATAAGACACATATTTATTTTATCCACAATATTTTGACCCTAAAGTACAAATTGATGTTTTTTATACAAACATTTTCAAACTGTTGTGGAAAACCTTTGTCTTTATCTCACGTTTTTGATTTTGCCAGAACTACGGAAATACATGCATTTACTTTGAAGCTGCAATATGTAAGTTTTATTTTTTAAAATGTAATTTTTCACCTATTTGTTGAAACCGTCACTATGTGGAGACTGTATGGTATGAGACAAATAATCTGTGAAAAAAAAAAAAACTAAAAAAAGAATCAAGCTCCTCTGTCTTCTTGCAGTACCATCTAGAAACAACCAATCAGAGCCAGGAGGCGGGTCTCTGCACTGCTCCTCCACCCATGCTCCCTCCTGCACTACAACTAGCAGAAAATGTTGTGAATGCACTGGCTTGTTGGCATGGTTACCAATGGTGGCACACAAACATTTTTCCTGAAATAGTAAGTTGTTTTCCTGCCAAGTTGTTTCCCTGCCATTAGCACATTTAGCAGCATTGCTTGACAGCACTAAGCCCCTCCGCCTGGCTCTGATTGGTTGCTTTTGCTCTGGAGTGGAGATTTCTTCAGGTAACAGTAGCTCAGGGAGGTGGAGGGAGGAGATTGAGCTTTTCACAGATTACCTGTGTCATATTACACAGTCATGTCATGCTGACAGTTTTGGCAAATATGTAAGAAAAAAAAAGAGAGAGAGAATAAATAAGAAAGTTATGAATTGCAGCTTTAAGTTATATAAAATTATTTCTAAGCATAAAAAAGCATTGGGAAACTTTTTCTCTCTCAAGCAGAATCTAAGTTTTTATTTTAGATGCCACCACCCCAAATCTTAGAACAAAACTCCAAAAGAAAGCTCTGGACTACAATATCTCCATGTTTCTCCATGCTCAGTGAGCGTAAGCACCATGACCCTCCTCGTCCCCGCCACGCTGCCTTTAAGGCTTTCCTGTACAAAAGCCACTGAGTGACACTAAACTGTGTCAGTTGTCACACATCGCCACACGGGCGAGGCATGCAACTCTGAGGAAACTGGTTGTGACACGGGACACACAGGCATGCAAGCAGCCACGGACCGGAGCCGTCAAACGCTAAAAGAATGCAGTGGTGGAAGTAGCTGCTGTCATAACACCAGGCTTGACGAGATGGAGCTGTCTCATTTCACTGCCCTCTGACAGGTGGGCCTGGGCCTGCCACGCATGTGTCCAGCATGTGTCGGTGCAGACTGGACGGACCCAGCCTGCAGTGTGGGGATTTGCAGAGTGAAGCATTGTGTTTCCATCACATGTCTTTAGGTGGACCAGGGAGGCCTCCTGGGTGCCCTTAGCCCAGCTGCATCATTTGCTTGTGGCCACGTTTGATGTGAAGTTACTGGAGTTGAATTTTAATGGCGTGCAGCTCAGTGTGGCTAATCCATGCTCTGCAGCATAAAGACAGGCTGCATCAAGACATGTTCAGGGGCACGAAGAAGGATCATGTAAATGGGATGCATGTTTCGTTGGATGTTTGACATTGCTCCATTCACGCAACGAATAGGAAACACTTCAGTCTGCTTTGAGACGGTGGTAGGGCTCACTTTGTTTTAGGTGCGCTATACACAGTACAGGGCATTTACCACTTTGCCATTTGTTTCTGGCGGTACTCTGAGTCAGGAAATCAGAATTTGGACACGCTTCGGAGAGCCAAAATTTCTGCTGCTGCTGCTGCTATCAGCGGACCGTTGCAAAGAGAAACAGACGAGACAAGACAAAGGCTGGAAGGATTAAACAAGTTCCACATACAGCACTGGTTGTACTCTTTGGTTGTGTGTGTGTGTGCAACAAGCTAGCGGTGTGTCACATTAAAAGGCCATTTAAATAATTCTGGGATTGTTAAATGCAAGCAAATCATGGTGCTGGAGAAAGTTTAACAGAACATTAAGGCAAACAACACAAAATGTCCCATCTAGTTAAGACAATACTTACACAAGAACACATCAACCTAGCAACAGCTGGTAACCAATTAGCTTAGCATTCACATGCTGTGGTCTCTAAAATGTTTCCCTCAGAGAAAGCAGAGGGCTAAAAGATTAAAGTGCAGTCAAAAAGACTTTTTAATTGCGGGTGAAGTGTGGGACTTTTTGGGGGTGGTCCATTGGATGCTGAACTACTCTAATAGGCTAGTTCAGCATCCAATAGGGTCACTGCAGACTTCAAGTACCCTACATATAGGTTTGTAAAACTCGATTACCCAATTTACTCCTCCATCTATTTTTCAACTTTTGCCCTTAAAAGAAATTTGACTTAATTTAACGCCTTAAAAATGGGGCCTGCGTCTCTTTAAAAACTCCTGCTCTTTCTGAATCTCAACAGATATTGAATAACTCTACCCCTTTAAAAATACCTTTTGAAAGTATAGGGACATTATTATGTAAAATCAACTTTTTTGAGTTTTACCTCGTGTTATAATGTCATTTCTTCATCACAAACACATCTGGAGTGTTGACATGATTCTTTCATGTATGTTTGAGAAATCCTTTAATCTCCCATGGGAACCAAATGGTTGTGCAAAATGCCTGGTGGGACTGACCTCCACCTTTGATGACGAAACTCCTCCTCCAAACTTCCGCCTCACAGAGCAGCCCTTCCCCGCTCCATCAGACTAG